TAACACACCAAGAGAGGCAAGACTTAAGGCAGAACAGCCAATCATCAGCCGGTGTCATGTTTGAGAGGGAGGGGAGAGGAGAGCTGAAGCGAGCGTAGACACAGAACGCCCAGAGAAACGGAGGAGCGAATGCGAAGGCGTTTGTTCAAAACTGCGGGAAAACTGTAGAAAAAGTGTGGATGTTGAACCCTCTCACCGGGAAAAGTGTGGCCCACATCCCCCATGGGTGCGACGCCCCTGCTCCCACCTGTGCAGCCCTCAGCACGTCAACTCCTTCCTGCAGTTCCGGCTTGCATGAAGGAGATGAGTCGCTACTGGTCCAGCCATTTTAAGAGCAAGCTTGCCACTAAGGGCTTCTCTAAGCTGGAACTCCAAGGGATGGAGGAGCTGGGGCTGGCCAAACCCCCAGCGGTGGAGCCTTCAGTGGCCTACCACCTTCCACCGCGTGACTGCATCCACCTTCCAGAGGATGTACACTTATGCTGCACAGTCAGTGTGTTCTCTGAATGCAGTTACATTGCTATCTGCATATCAGGCGGAGATCCTGGAGGAGATGGGCCAGCATCTGGACTCGGGGGTGCCAAACCCGGTCCTTTGGGATGAGATTTGAGTGGTGAATGACTCCTCCCGTGGCGCAGTACAAGGCTGTGGCAGGGTGATGGGCTTGGCTGTATCAGGTGAGAGAGCCCTCTGTCTGCCTTGGGGGATGCCAAGAAAGCGGAGGTCATGGATGCAGCCTATGACCCCACCAAAGGTCTTTTTGGCCCAGCCCTGGATAGAATGAGGGAAATCAGCTCCCTCAGGAAACCGGAGGATGAGGCTTTTAACCTCTGTCTACCTCGCAATCAGCCACCTTGCTCCCCTCAGACAGCCAGATCCAGTTTTGCAGCAGCTAGGGCAAGAGGGAGGCAGGCTGGGGCCAGCGTCCAGCGTCCAGCTCTAGGTGGACAGCAGGCAGCTCAGCAGCCAAGGGCGGCTGACCTGGTGCCATGGGGGCATTTAAATGGGCTAAGCCTCTGTGCCTGTGATCGGAAGGTTACTGTTTCAAGTCCAGCCTTTGCACATCAGTGGGTCTTTGAGCAAGACCCTCAACCCCCAGGTCCCCGGGTGCTGCAATGAGTGGCTGCACTTTGTGGCTAACTTGCTCTCACTTACAAAGAACAAGATGGCAAGAAAGAGAATTTCCCCATGGTGAACAATAAAGTATTTATTATTATTATTAATGAGAAGGATCACAACAAAGAGCAAGAAAAGTGCAACACTGATGAAAAGTTTGGTGTAATTATCAGGTGTCAACAAAAATTTTGCATTTTTTCATGTTTAAGTAATTAATAGCAAAATATCATTGTTAAAGTGAATGACATCATCTTGATATATATTAGCTCTGGCACCCCAATTTACAAATTAAGCAATGCCTATCATAATTATAATAAAGAAGGTTCTTTGATTAAATACCAGTCTAAGAAAATAAGACGAATGGGAATTTTCTCTTGTGGCCAGCATCTGGCCATATTTGGCCAGAAAAAAAGCAAAAAAATCACCTTCTTTTGTTCATGAAATATTGGCATTATCAGCTTGATATATAATGTCTGTAATATATGTGTCGTCCTTCAGTCTTTCATTTAAATATTTTAACTCACAGTATATTAAACGTGCAAGCTCAATCAGCCACCATATGAGATGTCCAAGAAACATTGTTAAATACATTTATCCAAAAAACCTACGAAATGTCATAAATTAAAAGTTAGTAGTAGGCAACTCTTAAAACCGGTTAAAACCGGTGTTACACTTATTGACCTATTGATGTAACAGCCACAGCAGACATCTATGTTTCAAAAACAGTTAGCAACTTGGCCTGTACATTCCCTAACATATACCACATCCACACCGGCCAGTCTCCCCCGTAACTGGTGGATCACGGTGCTCAAACATATTTTCTTTTGTCTTCTATTTCTTCCCTTTCCCACTGTCATCTACCCCAGCTGGTTTGGCATCTGAAACCTGCAAAGATATCACTGTAAATATTCATAGTTAGGCCTATATTCATTGTGTTCATTTAAATTCAGGGCATTCACATATTTTAGAATCTATTATAACACTTTCTTACAAATGGAACATGTGTGATTGTGAAAATTTAAGGTGCATTAAGCTTTTAATTAATTTATTGCAGAAATATGGTGGTACTGTGCTCGATTCCCTTTAAAGATATTTTCCAATATCAGGCCAAGCAATAACAAGGACAGTCTAGGTCCTGATCATTCCCGGTATGGGATAGGGATGAATCCTTCCTGTACTGTCTTGCTTTTTTATGCCGAAAATGGTAATGGAATCACAACCCTTTACAGAGAGAGCCATGTTATTCCAAGCTCTAATTACTGTGGTTGATTGCTGCTATGTATTAATCACTGCTATGTCCTGCTGTTATTTCCTGACAGCTAATATATTTGCATGCTTCACAGGCACACCTGTTTCCCTACCATCGACGTATATTCCATGACTTTTGGTAGGACTGTATGAGGTATACTAACCCTTATATACTGGGTATATTATGTTAAAGATACTGTGAAAAAGAAGTGAACCACAAATTCAAACAGGTCTCTAGCCACTTGGATTCTATGACAGTTATAAAGCGAAAGACCATTATTTGTCATTTTCTGAAAACCCCTTCCTGTCCTGTTGCATAATTTCTTCATTACCTTTTTGAGTTTATACAAATTGCTGCTGCGAATTGAGGCCAGTAACTGGTCCCTTGGATTCCTCTCAACGCCTTGGTCGCCACTTTGATTGTCCAGCTTCCTCTCTGAGCTGGGCCTCAGAAACTTCCTCAGAAGTTTACCGTCCAGTACAGGGGCAGGCGGGGGCTGTGTCTGATATATTGTAGGTTCAGTTTTTGTGTCACTTTTGCTTCGGTCTTTCTTCCTGGGAGTTTTTTTCGGTGAGGAAGAAGGTGACAACTGCAGAGATTTGGATGAGTCTTTGGGGCAAGCTTTCTGAAGGCCTTCTGTCGCTTCCGACTTCTCAACCAGTCCCTTGTTCTGAGCATCGCACTGGGCCTGCTTCTGGTCTCTCAGGCGCTGCTGCCGTTGACGGTCCATGTTTGTACTAAGGATGCTGGTTACAGCCATTCGAGGTCCTGGCAGTTGAAAGTGATAGCCCAACTTAAGCAGTGTGGTGTTTTCCCTCAGCACTCCAGCCATTTCCATTTCAGTCTTACCTCCACAGATGTGCCGCTGGTTATGGAAACGCAGCTCTGTGAGGGTGATATTGTGTTGCAAGGCACTGATTAGTGCAATGATGCCCTTGCCTGTGAGATGGTTTGAGTCCAGATTGATACTGGTCAGGGTCTTGTTGCTGCATAGAGTGTTGGCAAGAGCACAGGCTACATGGTCATCTGCTCGAGTGTTTGCAAACGCTAAGGTTTTGATGTGAGTATTATGTCGCAAAGCTTCAGCAAACTGTATGAGCATTTTTGGCTTGATGACTCCCGAGTTGTTGACGTTAAGTTCAGTCAACTCTGGAACATTTTTGTGCACCTTCTCTAAGAGCTCGTCAAGCTTGCTGCTTTCTTCTTCTTCTCTTTCTTCTTCCTCTTTTTGCTTCTCAGTCTTCACTTCTGTACTGCTAACCTCTTCATGTACAGTAGATGTTTGAGATTCGTCAGCTGATTTCTCCTTCCTCCTATTTTGTTTTTCATTTAGTTTGTCATCCTTCTGCAAGATGGTTTGTTCCACATCTTGTCTTGCCATGTTTTTCTCACTGACTCTCCTGTTTTTTGGTTGGTCAGGTGCGTCTTGTAGTTGGGACGCCTCATTCATTCTACAAATTGCTTTTTTCTTATCCCTTTCCTTGTTGCCTTCATGCACATTTTGATCCTGCTGTTGGGAGACTTTCGTTTTGCTCTGAAGTCTTTTCTCATGTGTCTTGCCCTCCTCTTTTCCCACTGTTTCAACCCCCACCCCAGTTTTCAACTTGCCACTGCTCTGCACTCTCCTTAAGTTACTCAATGAGCTTAGGCAGCTGTCACTGGAATCCTTTGGCCCCCACTGGTTCATGTGCTCTATCTTCTGCCTGGATTGACTGTGGTCTTCCAGTGCAACTTCTGTCAAGCCACTAAAGCCTGGACCGTCCTGGCTGTCGGATATGCAGAAGCTTCTGTCTTGGTTCTGTCCTGTGTTCTTAGCCTCTTCCTGTTTTGTAAAAAGTACAGGTCAGGTCAGGTTGGGGAGCATGTGCTGATGCAGCGTGTTGCCGCACCCACCACACAGCGAAACCCCCCAGGCAGATACACGGTCCAGTCCCACCCTCCGGAAATGGCCACGAAATGTACCACAAAATTAAAATATCAAAGAATGCTTGAATAGTGATGATTTTGTGATCAGAGTTAAACACTTAAAATGTTACATGATCCATTGCTCTGCGGTGAAGTGGCTCAGATATGTCATCTGGTAAGGACTCCTCTCTATTTCAGTGGGCAATAGTTACATGCCATGCTGCATAACAGGTTTACATGTGTAAATTTAAGGAAGTTAGCAGATATTTACAGACCCAGAACACTGATATGCTCAAGTATACAAACGTATAACGTTATATTCTTGCATAGATTATTTCATAGTGGATGATGCTGAAGATATCATTATAAATGTATATTAAATATTATCATATTTTTAATATACATTCTCTACTTCTACAGTTAAATGTTACTGATGAAATGCTGCTAGAAATTAAAAAGAGTATTCTTGCATATCGATTGAAAAGGAAACATAGCTATAATTCATAGCAGTAAGGCTCACTTGCATTGCAGTGAGTTATTTTTAATGGTTGTTTGTTGAATAAAAAACTAAAGCATTTGTTTGCTAGAACAAATAATGTTGCCTGGCAACGCAGAGTGACGAGGCTCCTGTGTCTGACTGGCATTTTGCTAGTTTGGATGAACTGTCCACAGCCGTCCTCTGGACCCCTTTCAAGCAAACAACAACAACATCTCTCAATCGAGATCCTGCACCAGTGATGCCATGGTGGGGGCTTATGTTTCTGTTTCTGAACCACCTGCAGATGTCTGGTAGTTCAACTGGTAACATCAATTTGGATAGGTCGAGATGTAGAAAAGTATGATTGCATAATATCGCACAAACTGCATTGAACAACTATGTATGCTACACTGAGAAATGTCTGCATGTCTTGCTGTTTAAATAAATAGTTGTAGTAAAATTAATATCGTGATAATTACAGTGCTTTAAAGCCTGATCCAAAATAAGCAGTGTTTAATGGACAAACATGTCACTTTACTAATGCCTCGCTGTTCCATAAATAGATGTGTGAAATGTACTTTGCAGGTCAGCAATTAAGACAGTAGGTTTAGTATGGCCATAAAAGCCAAAAGTACATATGTTAAATTCAGGCAATAAACCAATTATTTTAAATTGCCACGAGGAATGGCCATGAATAATAACTAGACCAACCTCAGGCAGTAATTGTTGCAGGTCACATGTTGGGAAATGTAAAAAACTGAATTTGACTAACAGCCTAAATCTAGTCCTATTGGCTCCCAACATCAAAAACTGCTTCTAGTGATATCTCAAGTCTGTAACTCTCCACAGCCCAAATTCCACAGATAACACAAAATGTAACGCTTCAAATATTATGAAGCATAACAATGTAAGATCAACCGATCTTCCTCAAGAATTAATAATATGTTAACCTGTAAAAGGAAGTTAATATCCTATATTAAAATACTGACCATTTAATATTTTATTATTCACTATATCACATAAGGTGCAGATAATTAGCAATGCAATCAAATACGTTTTTTAGAAGGTGATACCTTGGAAGACAATTCTCTCTCAATGAGTTTCTTGGTCTCATGCTCACAAAAGTCCAGCAAGGCTTCCCTGTTGTAGAACGTTGATGGTTCTTTTTCTGTCTGGTTCCGTTGCCTGAGACCAACTGGAACATTTGGGTCAGGATCGATCATTGTGAGCTCATTCTCCAGTTCCTCTACCTCCTCAGGTGACAGATTGGCGAGTAAGTTGTCAATATCAAGATCTTCACTCATTTGTCGCCTAGTCTGAACTATTCCCTGTTCTTTGCTTATAGACATGATTGTTGCAAACAGTAACTTCCTAAACAGCAGAAGGAGTCTCTTTTATTCAGTATATTCAGATTGTTTTTTAGCAAAGTTTAATCTCAAGACTGATTTGTGCGCAGTCAAGTTACATTGCTAAGGAGGCAAAGAGGAGTGCGCATTGTGAAACTCAGACATGCTTGTTCATTTCTTGAAACCATCTGCAAGTGCATGCCCAAATTTAGTTCTGAGTATTTTAACCTTAGCCAAGAGGGAGAAGTAAGAATAGAACCATAACAGTTGTTGGGGGTCTCCTTTTCTAATTAACTACGAGGCTTCTTTTAAGTGAATGTCAAACATTAAAAGATTATGAAAATTCAAGTTGATAGCTCGTGGGTAATTCACTTTAAAAATTGTTTTTACATAAGAAAGAGGAATTCCAATTCTACACAGAAAAATTTTAATTCCAATTTTTGTGTTTACACTGCTTTATATTACTTCAATCCACTTTTTTCAATTGAATTAATGCATGTTATATTTTATATTGTTGCTTAGACTCTAGACTAACAATGCATCCTAATTGTGTATTATATCCTTTCCTTCCGTAATTAAAATTTAAAAAATGGATTTCATCAATTAAAACATTCAGCTGGAGTCTGAAATTATTTAATTAAAACATACTAAACACCAAGCGCTTACTGGATCAGTGCACTAGGAATTAATACCCCATTTGTAAAAACTATTGTCTTTTTTGGGGTCCAGAATGAAGTCACTTTGAAAATAAATAAATCCAGGTTATATTGTAAAATTTAATTACCATGACCTTCACTTATGACTTTATTGAATGTCTTACAACAACATACTATTACAGGATGATTAAATTCAATCCTATATCAGAAGTAAAAGCTTCCCAGCATAGGTGAAACTCATCTGGAGGAAAGCTTATTTAAAAAAGTCAGACTTTATCAACTGCAAAATTAACAATGTTACACATGATTGCCCATTTTAAACATACGTAGAGGAGATTAGTCATTAAAACTGAAATTTTACAGATCTTTAAGAAATCCTGGGACATGAACACAATCGGTTCTTGGTGTAACTTGGACTAATGATGTAATATGGAAATCTGATTTAATATCTTCTTTTTACATCTCACACTTCAGAACACATCCTAAAATGATTGCTTAGGCTACTTGGTCTACAGAAAAGGTAAAAACACCCTTTGAAGATCACCTTTTTCATTTCTGTGTACATGGACCCAACATCATAGGTCCCTGTAAGGTTGCTGAATGCCAACAGAGACACTTAGCTAGCTGTGCAATGTGGTGTTCTGTGTCAGGCAGGGAACAATCCAGGATGGGGCATAAGCCCATCGCAGGGGACACTCATCCAGCAAATATGTTACATTTATACATTATATTACTTTAGCTACATTAATCCTGTGGTTGGTACTTAGTCTTTTAACACTGTGTTACTGGTCCTCTGTATTGAATTACCATGCTGTGTACGGTTCTGGTGCCTGCTGGATTCTTGACCGGCTTTCTCTGCCGTGAACCCAGAGTGGGACCAGTTCCAAGCCCACTTAAGGCTGTCTGTTCTGGAGCAGCTGGGAGCAGGAGAAATATGAAGCAGTAAACTCCCTATGTGTCTGTGTAAACACTGGTGGTGGCAGCAACAGGAATGCTGGAGAAGTTCATATCGAAACACCGTCAGCAATCATGCTTCATAGCAATCGGCACCATTCAATCTTACTATGTAAACCATGGTTAGTTGTGATTTTAATTTCTATGCTTTAGTCTTAGCTCATGATTGAGCTCTGGTTTCCAATTCAATACAGCTTCAGCAAGACTAGGAGACCACTTGTAACAAATGGTTGAGGCAGGATTCTCTGCTAAATATAGATAACATGCCAAACAGTACAGAGAAACCAGAAATGGGTCTTTAGCTTCTGTCTCTTAGAATTACTTAGGTTCCGTTTGAATATTGCAGAATGACCTTTGTATATGAAAACGTGCTGTACGAATAAACTTGACTTGACTGTCAACCAAAAAATGCTTTAAGATTCATCAGCTCCAGGAACATCTCAATGAACCCCAAAGCTCTGACCTGCTGTTATCTGTGATCACTTAGCTAGTCTCTTTTTTTATCACGGATGCTTTTCATCCTTGTCTTTAACTTGAATAACTCCTTAATTAGGTTCTTGTTATGTTCTTTGTAATGTGTTATAATTGTATTGGTCATTCATTGGAAGCTCAGCCTAGTCACATATATGCCTATGTCACTCCTTGAAGGCTGTGTGCTTGTAATGTACTATCTACCTCACTTAAATGTCACTTTACACAAGAAATGTCTATTAAATAATTAAATGTAAATATAAATAACGGGTGAAACAATGGTGTCTGGATCTGTAACACTGTGTGGAAGTCTTGTATGCTTCCAGAAATATAGTTGTGCAAGTTAAGCTCTCCTTTATGGCATTTTGGCTGTGTATTGTGGGTCAAATTTACCACAACCAGCTGGCTACGCATTTAAAACATTTGCACACTAGGGGGCAATGTTTCCCCCTTATTGGCTTGAGGCCTGTGCAGTTCCATTTATTCTAACACGTTATGCACATGCTATAGGAAAGCTGGTTATTGAACCAACCACCTAACTTCTAACCACTTGCTCTGGTTAAGGTTTGCAGGGGGGGGGGGGGGGGCATATCCCACACGATATAGCATAACATCAGGAAGATCCAGCCTTTTCTTTCCAATTATGCAGTTAGTAGCTAGTCTAGGCACTTGTTACCCCAAAACTTGACTACTGGCAGGCCTACCTGCTTGTGCTGTCAGGCCACTGCAGGTGATTCAAGATACGGCAGCACATCTGTTATCCAGTCATCCCAGTCGTTCTCATGTCACACCCCTCCTTGTCTCTGTTCACTGACTCCTTATCAGCATTATAGTTGGAATCCTTGTTGCTGGCTTACAGGTCCATGAATGGACTGGCACCCATCTCCATCAAAAGGGTCCTGGATACCTATGTCCCATCTCCCCCCCTGGCCAGCAAACCAACACCACTTGGAGCTCCTTTGGCTACGTGAGAAGTGTCACTCCAGGCGGTTTTCTTGTGGCTTCACGGTGGTTGCATGAGCTGCTGAACCATGTCCAGTCTTCAGACTCCCTCTCCACCTTCAAGAAATGCCTGAACACCCATCTTTTCCATGAATTTCTTTATTAACCTGATTGATCTTTGAATACTCTTGTCAGGGTCAGCACCCATCCGCCCCTGCACTTTGTGTCGTTACCCCGTTCGGCCAGCAGGTGTCACTGGCCATCCCGCCTTCTCACTCCCTGTCTAACCCTTGTTTGTTCCCTTACTTCTGGGACTGCTGCATGGCTCGGGTGGGTTGTGCAAATAGCACAATAGCTATAATCCTACAGTCACTGGTTCAAACCCAGCCCTGACTGTTTTGTTTAATTATTGTTTTTTTTTTTTCCGCTGATCCCAGTGTTGCAGTTATATCGCTTCCCTGTTTGTTTTGCCCTGCTTGTGTCCTGTTTGATTTTGGGTTTTGTGTAGTGTAGTCAGCCCTCTGTGTTATGCCCCCTAGTGTCTGAATTTGGTGTATGTTAAGCTTCCTTAGTTTCATGCTGATTTAAGTGTAATCTGCAGCTGTTCCTTCTCTGTCCTGGTGTTCTTCTGCATTTAAGTGGCTGCCTATGGTCAGCCGCTGCGTCAGTCATTGTGTTTTGTTACTGCGTGTTACTCTGCTGGTTCTCCAAGTTCTGTTCCTGGTGTGTTGCCCAGTGCCTGTTTTTGTTAGTTTTGTATTGTTTATGTTATGTTGGTTTATTGTTAGTTAATTGTGGTCCTTTGTTTTGTATTTTTCCCAAGTGTGCTCAGTTCCTTTCATAAACCCTGAGTCTACCAGTGGATCGTCACCCTCATTGCTGCCTTCACCATGCCCCCCCCCCCCCCGCTGTGACAGCTCTTATGTTGCACTTACTGGCCCTCGCATAGCCTTAAAAGGTTCTTTCTTTGTTAACAGTTAGGTGTAGCTGTGGTGTAACTCCTGCTACAAAACTGCTTACACTTGTACTGCACTTCTGCCTAGTTGACTCCTTGACAACATGAATGTTTGCAATATAGTATTTGCCTTGCTTGTACTTCACTTTGGACAAAAGCATCTGCTAAATATGTAAATGTGAGCTTTGGGCACAAGGCTGGGGACACGCCCTGGACAGGATGCCAGTGCATTGCTGGGAACACATGCACACTCGCACACAATCATATGCCACAGGAAACTCAGGAATGCCAGTTATCCTAACTGCACGTCTTTGCACTATGTGAGGAAACCAGCGATACAGGAAGAACATGCAGACTGAAAACATACAGAATGCACGTGGGATTCGAACCCCCGACCCTGGAGGGGTGAGACAGTGCGAGCTACGTCAATATTTCAAAGACAGCCCTTAGCTTATTGTATGCATAAAAAAGAAACAATGATAACAGATGCGTGTTAACATACATTCTGTTATATTTCTAATGTGTAACAGCAAGCAGCACAACTACAAATTATTGACTGAAGCACAGTTTTGTGGGTCTCACCTAAACATATCATTGGTCCATATTTACTCTTTTGAGTAAATAGTTCTAGCTTCAGAACTCTAGAAAAAAAGGACGGGTTTATAGTATGATTGTGACTTGTATAACGTGCCTCTTACATGGCTGCAGGTTCTTTGTTTCTGAAGACCTTCAGATCGTTCTTATGGGCATCAAACTATGCTACTGTCTCCTGTCAAATATTCCTATAGGTAGACAATAGACTACATTAAAGTGTCTGTTAACTAATTAGGGTAGATTGCTGTTGAACTTTGCTTTAGGTTCTGGGTCGTGCTTGTTTTTGCCTTGTTAAGATTAAGGTTGTTTGTGGAACTGACATGAAAGTGGGTTTTTCTTTGTTAACTGTTAAAATGGTGATATTTTCTTCCTTCTGTCAGATCGATGAGATCACAAAGAAAGAAGCGGCCAGCCTTTTGTATTATGACCAGCTGTGTCATGCTGTGCTTTGTGTGGGCAGAGAATTACTGTTACTGGTGCAGAAGATATTGTTAATTTGGTTCCAGTAAAAGCCCAGTCATATATACTGATATTAAATTGTTTTAGTTTGCAACCAATTTGAGC